GGGGGTAACTGAACAAAATAACACGATACAGGAACTTAATGCTGCACAAATTCAAAGCAGCAGCAAAATGATTAATTTGGAATCTAAACAGTAGTTTGTGAAGTCATTAAGGGATGACTTTAGGGATGACGCTTTCTGTCATTAAGGGGTTTTCTGTCAAGGGAGTCTTCTAATCTAATTTTGAGTGTCTAGAATTGAGCAACTGAAGTCTGAGCAAATCTCCTTAGCCTCTTTTGGAAAGATAACAGGCACCTTTTGAAAGCCGTTCATCTTATTGAGCTTCATTGTCTGTTTTAAGATGGGATTCAAAGTGCATAACAAGGCAAACAGTGTGCTACATGGCAAAAGGCACAGGAATATTAATGCTTTAAAATGTACTAACATTCTGCTGATTTTTTTTTTTTAAATCCTATGTAAAAATTAACTATGAGAAACTTTGCAGCTCGTTCATAGTATTTGGAAAAAATGTTCTGCAGAGTATGTGACACCCAAGATTCTATACAATATACTCTAAATGCTTGTAATTTTTCAAAGTAGGTGGCTTTGGCCAAGTTTAGTAGGAGAACATCCTTGTATTTAACTGAAACAAGAGTCAGAAGGATGTTTTATATATGAGCAGTCCTGGATGAGTCTGTGTTGTTGTACACAAGTATATCTTCTCCATTTGTTAGATGAGGTAAACCTACATTGCTGAGATTCCTTACAAATGTTTGTTGCTATATGACAATTTTGAAATACAAGTTACTCTGGGTACTCTTCCCCAAGTCAGAAAACTGTTTGAGTCCTCTACTCCACATTTTCCAGTACGTAGCAAAAATCATCTCAGTTTCTCTGTCCCTATACATGTAGACATTTAAAGGCAATGCTAGTACATGTAGACATTTAAAGGCAATGCTAGTAATTTTTCCTGGCTGCATGATACACTGGGTGTACAACAGCTGAATGACAACTTGAAAGTTGTGTAAGCATTTAGATGTGTGTTCCTGGAAGGACTAACCGTCTGAATTCTTTCCAAACCCAGACTTTTATTCTCTAATTTCCTTTTGTTGCCCTCTTGCCAGTAGGTTATAGATCTAGTACTAGAGAAAGTAAATCTACAACGCTAACTGTGCCAGAACAGCAAAGAACAACGCATCATCGTTCACGATCTGTATCTCCTCACCGTGGCGACGATCAGGGCAGGACCCGTTCACGTTTACCAAATGTGCCATTACAGAGGTAGGCATCACAAGTTAGTGAAACACTGGGTGGTTTCAAGTTTGTGTAATCTGTCATTATTAACTTTTCTCTTGTTCAGCAGTTTTTTCATAATTTTAAAGGTTTTTTTGGTATCTGAATTTGGTAGTGTAGTATTTCAACTTGATGTATGCCTTTATTAATCATTCAAGAACACTCATGGGATGAATCGTAACTTTGTAAGACTTACCTCTTCTTACTGATGCTTTCTCTGTGATTCATCATCTGTGTACCACAACTAATATGTAAGTTTGGAAATGTTTTTCAGTCAGTGGCTCGATCTTGTATGAAGCCACTTACGTATATTTGTAGTATAATAAATAGTGGCATGTACAAATGTAAAATAACTATGGATTGAACTAATTTTGAAGTAACAGCAAGCTGAAATTACCGATTGTATTTATGATGTGCCATTTTTAATGGAAGAAGTAAAAAATACTTTACAGAACCAGATAGTGATTTATAAACCTCTATTTTCTACATTTACTGCTTTTCATAGATGACCTATTAATAGGAGAATGCTTTTTGAGCTTTTCATTTTATGCTTTATGCTTGTTTTTGAATAGTGCTGTACAGACTGTTCAAGCACAGTTGACCCACTTGATTTTGCTTGCTTTATTGTGCAGGGCAGTAAGCTTCTCTTGCAACCTCTCGTGGAACCCTAAAAATAATCCAGTTTTTACCAGTTTTCATTTCCTCTAGTTTCTAGGAAGCTTTGTTCTTGAATTACTGCAAGAGCTTGAAGTGTTGCACTAGCAACATTATTGCCCACTAGCTGAGGTCGTTTACTGAAAGTCTGCCCTTCTTAGCTGAATTTTGTGTACAAAATTCTGTGCTGCAGTACTGTCCTGATCCATCATTTTGGTGTCTGTTTTGCTGGAGTTCCATCACTGGTCATTTAATACCAGTTATCTGTGACGTTTCAAAATTATGTTGTTATATTCTGGAAAACCAGCTTCTTCTCCCAGTTAAGAATCCTGATTAACTTGCTTCTTCCTTTCCATCCTCCATGCCATATATACTGGGTTGTGGGTTTTTTTGAGTAGAGAGAATGAGATCTCCACATTCTGCTTTTGCAAACAATTATGTGATCTTGTATCTTTCTATCTACAAGCACAATTCACAAATGCAATATTTCTTAGTCAGTTCCACCCATCCTTTCGTTTTATACTTCGTTCTTGTTCAATGCCAGTGTTAAACTAAAGGAGGAATCTGCCCTTCAAGTAGTAGTTTCTTTTCTTGTTCTTTTCCATGTGAAGAGAGCTTTAAGTTACTGTCATGGAGGTCAGATTTTACCTGTATTTATAGAAAATTATGCTCCTTTTGTATAACACTTAGTTTGAGATAGATAAAATTGGCTGCAAGTTCTCCTATCCTATCCCAGAATTTCTTAAAGAGTACTTGGAGACACCTGCAAAAGGTTCACAGCCCCAAATCAGCCCTCTAGAAATCTGACTATGAATCTACAAATGCATAAAACTTAATTTCATGTGAGATATTATCAGTTCTTGTGTTATCTCAGTTATTCTTTAAGTACAGGCTTTGAAAATGCCATTACTGAATCCGTCACTGTACACAGAAACGGGCGTGTACTTCTACATATGGTAGAAATGGCTGCTTTCTATGCTTAGAGGTGGGATTTTTTTAATCTTAGGATCCGTTATTTTTTTAGAAGTCATATAATAATAATTTAAGGATTAAAAACTTCCTTCAACAAACTTGTACTGTAATCCGTTAAGCTGTGTTATTTATGAGAAATCAAGATCATCATACATATTTCTGCCTTTCAGGAGTTTAGATGAAATTCATCAAATGAGAAGGTCACGTTCTCCAACTAGACACCATGATGCCTCCAGAACTCCGGTTGATTACAGATCCAGAGACATGGATAGTCAGTATTTGTCTGATCAAGAAAGGTACATCGTCAGCCTGACCTTGGAAAAAAGTTTAGAAATGCCTCTGTTGGTTTGCCTAATTTTCAAGTATTCGGTAGAAACACAACTGATAGTAACGGGGAGGGGAGAGAAATCATCCTAACTGACAAATCTAGTTTCATGGTTAAATTATCTATACCTCTTTTTTGGTAAAACTGTGCACTGGGTTGACAGTAATAGCAGGTATCTAGACTAATGGTTCTTGGGTGTTTGCCCTAGAGTTTCATGAATGAAGCCCAGAGGTTTTTGCTAGGAAACCATAGATCTACATGTATGCCCTAGCTATTCTTGTAAATTATCTGTTTTAGTAGCCAGCAAAATACTAGGCATGTGTTCCTACTAGTTGGGAGTTGCATATGCTATCATTTGCATTCCTGTGCTTATAAATTTTGGGCATCTATATATGCAGTCTCACAGCATCTTATGTAACATTCTGGTGAACTTGGTACAGTACCCAAGCATAGCAAGGATAGTTGTGGTGCTGGTAATTAACAAAAATCTCCAGTCTGAGATACGTGATATGTACACGTCTCTCCCTGAAAGATAAGTGTAGCAGTGGCTACACTCCTCAGAGAATGCTTAGTTACTCCCAGTAGGCATTGTTTTCAGTTAACTAGGAATATAGTCTAACAAAATGGAAGAAAATGAGAACTTCTGTTTAGTTTATAGCTGAAAAAAGTTTAAAAAGGTATTTCAGTTCAATATTTGGGAAACATAATGAAAACAGTCACATAGATTTTCAATGTTTGTGGGTTGTTTGTTTACTTTGAAAAAAAATCATAGAGCTAAAGTATAATGGCAATCTTATCATTCATATAAGATCAATTGTCCTAGTAATGTCTTTGGATTTATTTTTCTTTTCAGTAAGTTACTGGTTTTTGTGAGTAAAGATGACAAAACCTTCCCAAACAATCCAGTAAATTCAATACAGAACATACATTTCGTAGTGATGTGAAAACGTGTAAAGAATAAACCATAAAAATCTCTGGAACTCTTTGTCTAGTTTTGAAGCAACATAGAGTTTGAATAACAGGTTGCTTTTCCAGTTAAACTAGTTCAGCTTTGTATATGATCTTGCCTGTTTTGCCTTTTTAATGTGATAAGATAAGTATGGGAATGAATGAGTTATTTGGAATATTTTAAAATTCAACATTGTAGGCAAGAGGTGTGTACAGAATTGTCTATGTTGGCTTGTTTTACTGAATTTCCTGCCAGAGGTAAATTGAAAAACTTTTTACATGTAGTAGTCAGGTTTATTATAGTTAAGCTAATTCAAGTAATTTCCACTTGTTGCAAATGTTTCATGTTATTATTATAAGTACTGATATATTCCAAAGATTCCTGAAGATATTTCTTGAAGATATTTCTTATTCAGCAGATCTGAAGAAGAAGAGACATTAAAAAATAGCTTTTGTCAGTAGAAATAAATATAGACACGTTAAATGTCTAGAAAATTTTTTTCTGTAAAGCCTCAAACCATTACATAAATGGTGATATATGCATGAATTATGCTTGGAGAGCAGGGCTTGCATTGAGGCTTTCTCGGAGATGAGCCATCAGACCAGAGCCACAGCAGCAATGGGCTGCTGGATTTGTTCAGAGGAGTAAGTCTTCAGTTCTTTTCAACATTCAGAAAATGCTTTTCAGAAGTTTGAAGATGAGACATGAAGAATGTACTTGGCTTATTTGTACGATTTAAAGATGGGCCTATGTACTTACTCTCCTTGAGTAACCTTGACTGCAGTGGTCTCCTTTTTCATGTTTTCATTTTCATCTTTTACCCAAATTTCTTCAGTTGTGGAGACTGTTTAATTCTGGCAGGTTTCACTGTCTTTTGGTACATAAGAGTAGCATCATAGGGAAGATCAAAACCAGCTTTTGTTGAGGAAGATTCTCTATCACATACAAGGATTTTTAAAAAAAAACTTATTCAGTATTGCGTATTATTATCAAGAGTAGTATAAATATTATGTATTGTTCATACACTGAACCTGTCATCTAAACAAGTACAGTTATGTAGATACCTAACATAAAGTTTGAAAGTTGTGTAATTACTTGGTAGTTCCGTGGCAGAAATTACTGTTGCTGATTACTTTTGATCATTTCCTCAATGATCTGTTATTGGTCCCAAATTAATATTGAATATTCTGAATAGATCTTTGTAAATATTAAAGCATCTAGCGTGACAAATTTCCAGTTGAACAGATTTGTCCACTTAACACTTTTTATATATATTTATATACATATATACACACACATGTATGTGTGTGTATGTATATAAAACTGTTAGGAAAAGGTTTTTATTAGGAAATCTGGCTAAGCAGTATACTTTGCTCTGAATTTAGGATCATCATCCAGTTTTCAAGGGCATGACCCTTTTATTTTATTTTTTTTAATGTTTCTTTTATACCTAAATAAAATCTCTTAATGTCAGGATTAATATACTTATATTAGAAAACACTTTTTTTGGAATAACAATCTTTATTTTAAATGTCTCCAAACCAGATTTAATTCATTATAGTGAGTATCTTTTGATATTATCAGTATTCTACTGTGATGGATTCTTTTGCTTTGTTGTTGTTGTTTTTTAACTTGAAGATTTCATAGTGGATTTGCTATTTTATATCCCTTTTCTGGATGAATTTTGTATTACTGATTGCCATGGGCCAATTACAATAGAAACTCTTTGGCTTAGCAAAAGTAGGGTAAATATTAACGAAATACCATATGATTTAATGTGGACTTTGCATCTACTTCACATCTCTTAAGAAAATGATAGCTTTTTTCCTAAAATGCATGTTTATTTTTCATTTGGAAACCTGCATATAAATTCTGCCAGTCCTCTGAGCATATGCATGGAAATTTTGCTTTAAAAAAACCCAACAATTTGGTTCAAATTTGATAAATTTTGTTGCATCAAAATCAGGCTAGTGGTTCCAGATGCAAAGTTAAATCTCACATGTGACTCACAACCCATTATTTCAAGCTGCCCAATTTAGAACATTAGATAAATATTACCTATACTGCATCAATTAAATGGGTCATTTTATAATGGCATGAAGCACAAAACACACTGAACAACTGCTGCTTTATCTATTTTGTAATTTTTTCTCTCTTTCTCACCATAGTACTTCATATGATTCCCTGCTTGTTTTAAAATAGCATGTTTCCATGAAGTTTAGCTTTAATTTCATATTTATGACAATTAGGAGGTTTGGAGCTTGGTCTTTCTGATTGTGTTGAAGAGCATAAAACTACAAGATTAATACAAGGGATATTTCATACCATAGTCATATTTACCATAGGCATAAATATGTATTAATTTTACCATCTTGCTGGCTGTAGCATGTGTTTGGTAACAGTAAATGAAAAAATAGAATAGACAGCTGATTTTCTCAATTGGAAACAATAAGAAACAAAAAATCTGATGGCTGATTAGCGAATTTTGTTTCTTTAGAATTGCATTAAAAAATACTGTCAAGAACTATCAGTAAGAATTTGTATTTGGCCAAACATAATATTTCCAGTGAACATATATTTTTGTTTTTCCCAAAAGGGTGACTGATCACTCTTCCCTTAAACCAAGCTGCAGTAAATTAGTAGCAAACACTCTTTGCTTTTTCATGTATGTTTTTGTGGCTTAGGAACAACAGCAAAAAAAATCAAACCCAAACAAGAAGTATCTTTTTTTTTTTTCCCCCTAAACTATTTCTTCATTAATTAGTTCATGAAAAAGGAGGTTATTAGAGAAATGTAGCTGTTTTATGGATTCCTTTTGTCATGAGAGCTCTGAAACAGTACTTCTGAATTTTAAAAGGAGAAATCCCACAAACTTAAGTGCCACACTAAAGGGGATTTGTTGAAAATGTAGTTATCACAGGCATTTTTTGGCTCATATTCTTCGAGAAGTACACGCTGGGTTTGAACATTATCCGACTATCTGGGTGGAAGCTTCTTGTTTCTTTTTATGTTTTCATTTGCTTATCATTGGCAAAACCCATGTCATCTGATGCTTCATAATTTTATCTGTTTCACTCACCACCCATCCTGTCTGTGCAGTGAGCTTCTTATGCTGCCCAGAGCAAAACGAGGAAGAAGTGCAGAGTGCCTACATACCATCAGGTAAATACAGGAATTTGGTAATCATGAACACATCTGGTCAGTTGTCTATACCTTGTGTGCCCGACTTTTTTCCATAGTGGTATCTAGTCCCAGTAAGTAAAGAACTTCCTGGTACATTGTGATCCAGGTGTCAGTTGTTCTTTTTTGTTCCTTTTAATTCAGATTGAGATGTGTATATATGTTTGTGAACTTCAGTAGTAAGGATTAAAGCAGTTGAAGAAATTTCTGGTTTTGCAGTTGTATTTTTTGGTAGATTTTCTGTCTAGTCACAGAAGGCTCGATTACCCAATGCATGACAGTGTTGTTATAATTTCAAACACTCCTTTTTATTTGTTTTTATGTTTTCTTTTATTTGCATTTTAATGTTTATATTACAGCCACTCACCAGCCAACAGTCTTTACTTGTTGTGACACCTAATCTCATGCTGATTTTGGTCACTTGTAGAGGAAAGAACAGTGGTTAATGAGGGCTTACTGGGAATCCCAGATTTGAGGGGGTCTCGTATTACTTAGTTTTGCATCTACAAATTGTGCTATAAATTAGATCCAGGCATGAACTTTGTAGCTTGGGCTCATCTTCAGTCTTCATTAATCTCTTGTTCCAAAGCTTGGAGCATTCTGTCTCAACTCTTCCCAATGTTGTGAAACTAAACAGGACTGAAATATCTTTATCTAACAAATCTAATTCTGCACACACACCTCTTTATTTTTTTTCACCATGTCTTTAACTTTGTTAAAATTAGATGTCAGATTGACTAGAAATTCTTCTGGTTTGAATCAGTAAAAATGTGGGTTGAAGTTGAAGTAGTTAAACATTTTTCTGTTTGGGATATGGATGTTGCTAAGAGTTTTATGTCAGTGCTATATGTTTAAAACCATCAAACTTTTAAAACCATGTTGTCTAATGTACTTATTCGTTTACTTGGTGGAGGATTTTCCCCTACAGAGTAGTTTTGGGGTATTTTTATATGCCTTGCGTTGCTTTAATTCTAGTAATTGAATTTGAAACAGCATCGCAGATGCTGTGATGGGTTTCTGTTAGAAGGCACAGTAGTATGAAGGTAAAATAATAAATATGAAAAGTTTCAAACAAAATCTGTGCATCAGTGAAGCTGTTAAATTAAAATTTAAGTTATTATCACTAGAAAAAGTTTCATTCTCATACTTCAGCTAAAAAAGCTTATTCCTCAACATTTTAGGTTTTAAAGCTTAATCATTTATTTCACTCCCTGTTATTTTATGTCTGTTTATTGTCATACAATAGCAATTTTTCCTGCCCCCTTCCTATGGCCTTTCTTTTTCTGATGCATCTTCTATAGCTTCATTCCCCTCCCTGCCTCTGGCTCTGTGCTTTTTCTTTCCCTCTTAAAGATTATAATTTTCATTGGAAGTCTTCAATGGCAATGCTTATGTTCTCACTTAATTCACAAAGTAAATATTGTATTATGAACGTTTGACGTACATTTCCCAGCCACTATAGATTTCCAATAATACGAATCTACTAACCAGTCTGGCCAGTTAAACAGCTAAAAACTGTGCATGGGCAGCAATGGAGTTACCTAGGAGCTATGCTGAATTTAGAGAGTACAGCCCTTTCTTGTCTTTTTCCTTATTCCAATTACTCCTGTTATTTTTTTTACGATCAAAAAAAGTAACAATTTCACCCCTTAGAGAACAGTAATGGTATACTGTAAAACGGAATGGTACTCTGAATAATGTGTTGAAGGTGAATATGAGGGCAATAGAAGACTTTAAATTGATTCTTAAATTCAACTCTGAGGTTTATACAGCCTAATCTAAGTTTGAATAATATCCAGAAAATTGCCAATATCCATCCTTGAGTGAACAGTCTCAAAAACCCTTTCAACAAAGAGTTGGTCTGCGCATTGGTTGTCAACTTCTGTCTTTTCTCATTTGTAATGGCCTGACATTTATTCGTGTTAGAAACATTATAAGGCTTTATCCTTGTTTTCTAAACAGCTTACTGAATAATGTTTTAAGTAATTATTGAGACAACTTTAGTTTAAAATGGGAAAGAAATGTTAAGGGTTTCATGTTAAATGAAAGAAATATTAATATGATATAATCCAAGCTACAAAACTAAGATATATGGTTAGTTTAATACACCAGTTTAGAGTAATAGTAGTCCTAGCTGTCCATCCTGTCCATCTGTATGCTATTATTGACTAATAGCAGAAATAGTGGAAGGACATGAACCTATGCCATAGACCATGGGTCATCACATTCCATGTCTTGGGTCACAACCACTTTGATTGGTTTGATTGCTAGTATGCCAGGAGTGACCTGATAGACAGCTATTCCTTTATTCCAATTTTACAATGTCACAGTGACCTCTGGTAGCGATATGAGTGGTGATGACCACTAAACCTGTACAAAAAGCGTCAAAGCTCCTCCAAAGCACATAGAATCATAGAATGGTTTGGGTTGGAAGGGACATTAATGATCATCTAGTTCCACCTCCACCCCCCTGCCATGGACAGGGACACCTCCCACTAGACCAGGTTGCTCAAAGCCCCATCCAGCGTGGCCTTGGACACTTCCAGGGAGGAGCTTCTCTGGACAACCTGTTCCAGTGTCTCACCATCCTCTCAGTAAAGAACTTCTTCCTAATATCTAATCTAAATCTCCCCTCTTTCAGTTTGAAACCATTACCCCTTTTTCAATCGCTACACTCCCTGATAAGAGTCCCTCAGGGTTTTACGAACACTAGGGTTTCCAGGCAGAGTTGTTTCAGCTGTCTGCGATACAGCCAGGTTTGTAATGTTGATCTGCTGTGCCTAGGTCCAAGCCTTAACAGGAATCAAAATGTTCTATTAGGATAGGGTGTTCTTGAAGCTGCAAAATCCTCTAGGCTGCTGGTCCTCCTACTTATAGCAACCCGGTAGGGTATGTGGAAAATTTTTAGAACTTGATTATTAACCCTTAACTATTAAATGGCCATGATTCCCATTTGGCAGTCACTGTCTGCCTTTAAATTTCTACCTCTAAATTTCTAGAGCTGGATAATGAAGCAAACATTTCCCGTTCTAAAATTCCATACTGTACTGTAAGTGTTGTTACATGACAACTGTCTAATATCATCTCAGAGTGCTGCAGTGCTGGCTGACCTAGTGGATCTCCTAGGATTTTTAATTAGCTTATTATTAATAGCATCTAATAACTGTTAGATTTTGAAGCTGATACACCACTTCCAAAAGACTTCCACGTTCAGAAATGCCAGATGCTAATACATCTATAATTAAGTTTGTGATACTATATATCACTGTTTTAGCAAGCTTGGCATGCTTAGCTACTGAAGAAGTTAAAGTCTCTGTAGTTCTAAGTAAGGCATCAATAAGAGAATAAAGAGCAAGTTTAATATCAACCTGGTCCTTTACAACAGCTTGTGTATTTTAATTAAAAATCTTTATAAATAGAATTCAGATTAATTTCATTACAGGGAAAAAGTCTGAGCTGTACTAGTATTGACATGAGTTCAAGGACTGTATTAATAAAAGTGTAAATACAAAAATTTGTTCCCTGGATAGCTGTCGCAGTAGTTGAGAAAAACATATATTGAGAAATCTACTCATGCAGCTATTAAATGTAGTAGAATTTTATGCATTTATTTTACGTTCTGGTTAGTCTTTGCTTACCTTCACCATCTTTTTATTTCTGGCATGTTTTTCTGTTGTTCTGTTTTCTTTTCTGTTCCACTACATTCAAGAAGTTCTGTTAGGCACTATAAAACTTTACCACCCAAGATGCCTTTACTAGAAAATGGTACTCATTGGAACATATACAGGTAAGAAGTGTTTAGAGTCCCCTTTAAGTAGTTAGATCCTTTTTTAAAAAATAGTCTTGCCTTGTTAAATAAAGAAAATTAAAAATGTTTCATTCGGGTTTTGTAACTGAGAGATAAGGGATATAATCTTAAAATAACTTCATTTAGTTGCTTAAATTAACCCCTACATTTCAAAAAGACTCAAATCAAACCACTTTGTATTAGGCAGAGTTGTCTTCACTTTAAAATTATATGTTGCATGTTTTTCTTTGTTACATTCTTTTGTTTATGTGTAAGATTTTGGTTACGTGTCAAATTTATTTTCATTTTGTTTAAATAATTTTAATTTACAAAGCTCAACTCTTCCTGCATGTGCTAAGACCAAATCCGTGATTAGACAGGATATTTCACTCCTTCGTGATTGCCTTAATTCACGAATACCGAAATTTGGAGATGATCTACTTGTTAGGTAAGAAACTGAGGATTAATCCCCCCTCCTGTTTGGTATCTAATATGGATTTTCAGAATCTATGAGCTTCACTGTAAAGTGACTTCACATAATATATACAGTGTATCACATCCTTTTATGTTGGCTTAAGATTTACTGCTGTTAATAAGGATTTAATTTTATTGTTTGATATTTCTCATTCCACTTTCTTACAAGTGGATGTTGTTTTGTCTCATTTCAATGAGTTTTAAACATTTCAACGATCTTAGCAAAAACTTTCTAGCGATCTTTTGTTTGCTTTTATTTCCTGAACAAATCTTGGCACTGTCATCCAGTCAGCTCTTTTACGTTTTCCTTAATTAAATCATTGTGATTCTACATTTTCTGTAAAGAGAGCATTATTTTATGAGTTAATATCTAACATTGTATTCCTTTCTTTGTTTTCTTTTTCTTTCTCTTCTACCATTGGATGCAATGCACTGGCACTAGTGAACTACAGCCCTCCCTTGACAGGGCTAGGAGTGCTAGTACCAACTGCTTGAGACCAGATACTAGTTTGCATTCACCAGAACGAGAAAGGTATAAAATAAAAACTTATGAATTTCTTGTCATCTGTGCTGGTGATCTTTATCAGATTTGTTTTTCTTCATATGAGTACTCTACATTCTTGTACATTCATGTCTGCTTTGATATTTGTAGACATTTTTGCTCCTATATTCATGTATGTCATGTAAATTGTGTGTTGGCATTTATAACCGCTTCTGGCTTCTTTCCTTATTTTAGTTCAAGCTGATGTCGTTGTTTACAAAAGTCCTCAGTATGCTGATAGTAGCGTTGTAGTGTAAGGATTTTGACAAAGCTTCATCATCATTTACTAAAAAGTATTATGTTTGTTTCTTGCCTGTTCTGTGGACTGCTAATATGGCAGTAACATAATTTGTAAATTATGACAAAACTCTCATATTTCAAACCAGAACTGTATAGTGATAGAACTTTGTATAGTGATGTATTTTCTACAAAACAGCAAAACTTCGTTGCTTTCTTAATCTAATCTGCTGCATCTGCTTTTGCAATTCCAAGGCAAATCACTGCACTAAGTTTTTTCACTCTGTGACATTATATTAAGACTCTTAAGAAGACATGTTTGCAATTTAAATGAAATATTGTTGAGTCACGTACATTGTGCAGTCATTTTATGGATGCTTTCTGAATTTTTAATATTACAAGAGCTTGGTTCTAAATCTCAGGTGAACTAAATACTGCTGATATGTTTGGCAGATGGGATTGTTCCACAAGGGAATTTTTCATCACCACCTGTGGTTTTGGCTAAGAAATACACCATTTGAGAGTGAGATTTTAGCTTCACTAAAGGCAATAATGGGCTCCCATTGAGTGGGAATGTGGTGGAATTACAATTTCAGCTGTGCAATACATATTTAACTAGTGTGGCAGTTAATAATGCAAAGTCGATTTGTCAGTCAACCCACAGTGTGATGGTTATAACAGTTGCATCATTTTCATTGTTTTGGGAGAGGACCTGTGAAGAAAGGCAATAAGAATGTACTTTTCTCTTTGAGATAAGATTCTGCTAAGCTTTTTATGACATTTCCCTTTCCCTCCTCCCCACTTCTTGCTGCTCCTTGATTGGCACTTTGCTCTTCTCAAGTTGTACCCATCTTGCAAAGGAATGACTAATGTTCTGCTGAGGTATCTCAGAGGGATCTACGCTAATTCATTCCTTTTTAAGATTGAGCTCAATATATCATAGATAATATATACATGGTTATTAAAAAACAAAAACCCAGGTATGACAGAAATAAGGCCACTCAGAATGAAATACAGGATATCATTCCAGATTATTTTTTAAAAAAATTGTAGCATCATATTAATAACTAATCATGTAGAGATATACAGCTGTATTCATCTACAAGGAGCTATTTAATGTAATAACATGGACATGAGTACTATGTTTCGTACTTTTATGAGCAGTATATTTTGTACTTTTATTTCAAGACGCCACTTATCAAGTTAAATATTCAATGAAACAGTAACTGGCAATGGTAAACTATCCAGTTAAAAGATTGTACTCAAAACTACACCTGTCACTGTTGTTAACTAGTTCTGTTATGTTTTTCTAATTCATGTCCAGCAACCTCTGTCCCATAGGCACTCACAAAATCTGCAACATTTTTCATGATCTCCTCATGAAGAAAAGTGTTTAGTTTGTGTTGATGTCCTCTAATGCTACTAAAAACGTGGTCCTAAACAGGTGCTTTTGACTAGGGATCCTTCATGGGGGTTCAGAAAAGCTCATTTTAGGAAATTCCTATTCAAATTTTCCATGATGGTTTTGTTGAAAATAAGATCTGTGTGGCTCTGACAAAGGATTTAGGACATAATTTTTTTCTTTTCTTCCAACATAGATAATGTTTTTCCAATACAGCCCAATTTTTGGAGGAAGGTGTTATATTTACTGTATAAAAAACACTTAATTAATCTTTTTGTTTTGGAGGAAGTTAATTATAGAAGATTTAATTCTCCACTGTTGAATGTATCTGCTTACCCTTTAAAATCAGGTTAGCAATCAGTTGCATGTAATGATAGAGGAGTCTTTAGTTTGAAGAACATAGAATTAAGTTCAAGACATGTAATAAGCATTTTGTTTCTGTTCTGGACAAGACAAGAATAAGGGACTTACAATGCAGTGAGATGGTTTCATCTTAAACAACAGGAAAGCTGTTTTGAAAGCAACTACAGTGAAACACTGTAATAGACAATATAGAAAAGGTTGTCTTCGTTACTGGGGACTGTCTAAGAAGAGATCAGACAAATATCCGTCAGATGTAGAGCTGGTCCTGCTTGTAACAAACACTGCAGTGTTTTGTGAAGTCCAGTCTATACAGCACCACTTTATTATTGTATTTGAGGACCTATGTTGAAGGCATGGTTAGTTATTTTTATGGTGTTTCCTCTCCCCACCCTGAATGGAATTGTAGATTTTATTTAAAAAGCATAAAGATAGACTTCTAAATCTGGCATCATATATTTTCTTCAACAAAATTATGAGTATACTCACCTTATTGAAAATTGTTTCTACTTGTATGCCCCAACCTTTTGTCTCAGAGGGTATAAATTAGATTGTATTTGAGACCAAGAGTTAAAATGGTCCAACTGAGGTTTTTTTAACAAAATGGTATTGGCTGTGTATAACTGATGGACAAAAGAGCCCTATTTCTCTGTGTCAATGCCTTATTGGAAATTATTTTGATGCTTACACTCTATACAACATCATTCATGTAATTTGGAATGGTCGGAGTAGTTACTCGTTTTTAAGATGCTTCTTTGCCAGTAAAAGTCATTTTGTTGACCCACATATACCAGCAGAAAAGTACTTTCAGCAGTATATATGAATTTGGGATATATAAGTCTTGTTAGTTGCACTAAACCAAAAACAAAGCAACAAAAAAAAGACATTCCTTTTCTCCTGTTACAAGCTTTGTCATTTGAGCAAGGAAAGTCTGTATAACTTGACTGGCAAACTGACCATACCCTGACACAGGCCTGCCGAACTGTTTTGGTAAATAGAATGGTTTGGTACAGAACTTAATTTTATATTTCTGTTTGGCACAGAGTACACTAGGATACTCAGAAATATCCAGCCCATACTAGTACATCTATTCAGTTGCACCATTCATGCCTTTTTTTTTAAACTCTTCCCCTCTGCCCCCCT